TTCTTAATAAGTAGAAAATTAGTTATTTCTGACTTCACATAATTCTCTGAAACAGTTTTCAGTTTCATCGAATCTCCAAAGTTCTAAAAAATTTTCAGCTTTTATCTCATTCAACCTTCAATCCCATTTACTCGTCATTATTGCTTCATAATTATTAGTGCAATTAATAAATTATCACGCGTCCGTATTAAAAACTGCTTGTTAATTTTTATACCGTGTCGTATACGTTCCTTAAGAAGAATATCACTAATTATTGCTCTTGACACTTAGCCTGTACCATAGTAAACTATTAAAATCGTTTTTTGATATTATAGATAACTTACGATGTTTATAGAAATGTAAAACTTTTCAGAAACTATATTTATAGATTATTCCAACACAATTAAGTATCTACTTTGAAGTTTAGAAAATTACAACATTTATGATAAACAATAATAAAGATAAAATACAATATAAAATGTTCCGACTTTTTTTTCTATTTTCATAAACACGCATTTTACGAACGTCGTACGCAGGGGCTTTTAAAAACAAATAAACATAATTTTCCATTATTATTTACGTTTGTTAAGAGTCGTAGTTCATAGCAATATAAAAGTTCCGAAATCATCATCAAAGGGGAAAGTATACGTCACGTTGCTTCATAAAAACGCATTCGAAACCTAACGAAAGGTAGTCTAAGCGTGTAGCTGGTGGTCATCATTTTACTATCATGTTCTTTTGTGCGCGGATAAGAAACGTGGTTCTTTTCCCCCTCGACGCACTTGGAAAGGTCACTAAGCGTGAAGGTTTCTTCATCTCTCGTCCACTTCAACTGTTCATTTTAAAACGATATTTCTGTGCAGTTTCTGCATTCCTGACCCTTCCAGTACCCAAGTGGTATATCAGCTTTTTAACAGTGACGTTCCGTATGTGAATATTAAATACATAAGATCTTTAACCTATGTATAGGATCGATACAAGTTTACAAATATAAAATATCTTCCCAAGTTCTAAAATTGGCTAAAATGGAATAAAAAAGATAGATTAAATTTTTACATCTGATTTGGTACTGAAAGGATTTATCAAGAGACACAGAGTTCGAGTGGGAAGAGATCATGATTTATCTTTACGTAAACGCGCTTGTCTTCCGCTTTTTCCGTTTAACGGTTAATTTTCTTTCTCTTTAATCTAATTTAATTATCAGAGAATGATTTATAAGGATCTCCACACTTCCTAGCGTTTAGATAATACCTCTGCTGACGATTCGAGAGGGTTATACGCACGCGCGCACGTACATACTTCAGTCGTTTATAAAGTGGGTCCTAAAAACCTCCCCTATCCTCTTGTCGCGTCTTTCTCTCTTTCTCTCCTCTCTTTGTCTCTCTTTCGCGCTCGTAAACAATCATATGTACACTCACATGCACTCTTTCTTCCTTTTCCCATCTCTTTCTCTATCATATATCAATAAGTACGCCTTTACTTTTTACTCACTCTCTCTCTTTCTCCCTCTCTCTCTCTCTCTCTCTCTCTCTCTCTCTCTCTCTCTCCGCGAAGTGCCTTAAAAATTGATCCTTAACTACTTACTAATATAATCGATTCTAATCACAGCAATTATTTATTGTTGATATACACAATCATACAGCGTCTCTCACTAATTGTTATTTTCATCTTTTTTTATCGACTTTTTTTTATCGACTTAGCCAGAGACAACTTGTCGCTCGATGCTGTTGCTCGTCTCATATTTTACCATTTTTTTCTCTTACATAATTACTACTGTACGCCATCATTGTCTATCTATCGGTGGAGAATGGGGGAGCAAGGGCGTTAGCGAGGGGGTGAAGAGGAGATGTGAGAGGAGTGCCTTGTTGCCGCGATGAGAAAAGAGAGAAATACTTTTACTTTGTTTTTTTTTCTTCTTCAAAGTGTATAATAACAAAAATGATTTTCCACAATGTATGTATATAAATAATTATAAATAACAAGATTAAATTTCTCAAACCTAATTTTTAAATGTCACCAACAGACTCTCGCGGTTGATCGTACCAATTACGATCTAAAGTTCATCCGGCGAATTAAAAAAAAAAACGCATTGGATCTGTACGGAATCGGTTTTTCTCTCGTATACAGATTGCGTCGTAAAAGATGGTCAAATAAGTGCGTCTTTTGACGTAAACTTATTGAAAATCTAGTTGGAGCTTTAACTGCAATTTTTTCAGAGTCTTTCCAGCAGTTAAATTTTGATGAGACAAATTTCTAGGGCAAATAAATTGCAAGGTAAACCAGTTACCCATTAAATTTAAATAAACTTTACATTAACAAAGATTTATATGTTAACATATAATTAAATGAATCCATAAAAAATTATATAACGTATTCAATTGAAATTTTTCTGAAGAAAAGAAAAATTTCTTCAAGTTCTTTTTCTCCAAACTCGTTATATTACGAGTCCCATATTTAACGACACAACTAAATTTTGGCAAATTTTTTCGTGTTTCACACGAAGGAGCCATTCGCAACTTATTCATTCGGCAAACGAAATGATGAAGCGCGTGTTGCGATCAAAATGAGAAGATACGTTGATGTAAATAAATAAGGTGAAATCGCAGATGTCGATGCGAGATGCTGATATCACTTCTTAAAAATTCATCATATAAACAAGGATATGCTCCGAGATTAATAAATATGTACAACGTAAAAACATATTTACAATACGCATCGAAAAGAAGCGAGCACCGCAAAATATTTTCAATTAAAACAAACAAAAAGACAAAAAAATATATCACAAAACTGACTCCACAATATTGTTCAGTTATACACAAACATAAATTAGGGTCGATACAACTATCAACATTATTTTTTTTTTTTTTTGGAAGGATTAATTTACATATATTAAAATTAAGAGCAGTTTTCTATGCAAGTACAAATCGGTTAAGATATATAAAAGTAATACGTACGCGCGAAGACCACCGATTATTAATTGAGCTGACATCGGAAGCACAGACTAACATTCTCTAGCAAAATGTTTTTTCTTTTTTTTTCCCAAATTTTAATTTACGTTTGGCACATAATGGAAGTTATCGGTACAGGATACATCGTAAGGTGTAAATCGTCCGCGCCACAGCCAATTACATTGGCGTTAACTTGATCTTACAACAGAATTCAGAAACTAGTTACACAGCTATTATATACTTCAGCAATTCTTAAACCTCATAATTCCTTTAATTTAACTCGTCTTTTGATATAAATCGAGACGAAACTAGACGCAATATAAATATCCAACAAGTCTCAAAACATGATTATTTCGCAATTTGTGTACAGACTAGTCATAAATAAAGTCTACTAAAATAAAACAATCTCAAAAGGGCGTTGCACAATGTTGCGTGCGCGCGCATTTTTCTTCCAAATAAAGTAATAATTTTATTAAATATCAATATCGTAACGACTAAAATAACGCGCGAATGAAGAGTCGATAAAGATAGTAATGAAGAAATGTACATACAAAAGAGCTATGTTCAAAAATTGATAAATATATATCGTCATTGTGGAGCGGTCCTTACGATTCGTGAACCAAACCGCAAGTGTGGGGACCAAATTCCAATGTGGGGAGGAGGGTTGAAATCGTCAATGGGAGGCTTTAAGTGGTTGATGAAGAAAGGAAAGGACGCCTCGAGTCTGGTCGAGTCTGGGCTTGAGCTCGCACCTTTTCATCGCTATTTATCTCTTCTCTAATTATCTTTATCGCGTATAATAAATATATATATTATGTGTATATATATATAATATATATCATTATTTATATATATTCCACGTAATAATTTCATTTGTTCCTTCAACAGAAGCGCGCGCTCGGCATCGTTCCTCAGCGATGACAACGTCGGCCGTGCCTCGATCCTCGATTTACAAGATCTACCGCGATAGAGGCGTCGAAGGCGTCCAGGGCGCGTCTCACGTCGAGGACGATGCCGAGGGTGCACTAAGACGCGCAACCCGCTCGTTCCTTCGGCGCTCCCGAGGGCCGCCGAACGATCGACGGGTGCGAACGCGTCCGCGCAGTCGTTTTTTTTTCTTTTTTTCCATTTTTCTCTTCTTACTTTTCCCCCCCTTTAGAAAAAAAGAAAAGCTTTTACCGACAATTTTGGAATCCAAGATTCACATGCAAAAGCTACGCAACTACGTAAAATTTTTTCACCGCGCGCGCGATTAATTATTTTACTTTCCCTCAAAACGCTCCCGCACGACAGTCAATCGCGATGACGTCACTCGTGATCTTGGTTATTTCTGGCCGTTGACCGTGAGGCACCGTGACTTTTGACCTTACGGCCATGAAAATTGACCGCGGATGCGCTGACGGGATCGCGCGAGACCACATGATTGAGGATCAACATATGGGGCACGAAAAATCACGCGATCGAAATCGGTGAGCGAGACGTGGTGGATCACGTTCGATTACGTGGTCAAGAAAGATATGTGGGGGCAGGAGGGACCACGTAATCGAGACACTCGACACATGTCCCGTCTTCACCGATCGATGCGCCGATCACGTGCTGATCGTGTGATATTGAGATCGATATATATGAGATTCAATTTTAGATCATTCAAGTTATCCAAATGATGAGTAACTTGGAACGCGCACTTCGAAACGTCAAAGAGTTCGAAGCAGACTCCAAATATTTCTATTCTAAGAAATTCTTAAATATATGAGCAACTTTTTATTAACTCATTCCATCGAGAATGCAAGTTAAATATCGCCAATAAATATCAGTGATACAAAGCAATTTAAATTTTCTTCTCTCATTACAATTTAAGATGCCTCTAAGTATCACCGTTTAAATATAATTAAAAAATGACTATAAAAAAAATGAAAATATCAATTTAATTCCTATTAAAGATATAATGTTTCATTTTTTTCGGTCGTATCACAAGTAAAAGGGAATGCGTATAATTTGCAATCTCTATAAAATTTTGTCGAAAAGTCGAAAGTGGAGTATTCGCTTTGAGCTCTTCGACTACCGATTTGCCTGTGAACAACGGTCTCGTGATACCAGCTGCACTTCCGTTGTCGCTTTTCTTTCGGATGAAGTAACTAAGATCGCGAAAACCGTCGGCGCGACGGTGTATCCGCAATAGAAAAAACGCTAACAATCGGCCTAATATTTATTTAGCATCATCGTTCGTAGTAATATAATTAATAATAATAATTCTCTCGTATTTCTCTCCCGTCTCGCGTCATCATTTTTTTTTTCGTTTAAATATAAAAATGAAAACTAACATATCTTTGGCTTGTTCCCTTTACCAATCGGCAACAGCTCGCGGCTGCGGCGTGCATCATTATTTTTTGTTCTTTTGTTTAAATAACTTTTTGTACAGTTTTGTACACTCAAGTGTGTCTGTGTACGCGCGTGCGTATCTTCATCATTTTTCCATGTACGTTTTAACTCTCGCTTCATTGTGTCGCGTGTATGTGTATGTATGTATATTATATATATATATATATATATATATATATATATGTGTACGCGTTTTTTTTACGTATATCTGTAGTATTAGAATATGTTCGATTTTAACGTACACGGTTACTTAAAGCGCGCACAAGTAGACTCCTTTCTGAATACGTGCGAGTGTCCTACGTGAGTACGTATTATGTGTGTCTCTTTTTCTCTCACTCTCTTTCTCTCTCTTTCTCTCCCTCCCTCTCTCTCTCTCTTTCTTTCTCTCTGTCTCTTTCTCACTGTCGTGTGTCTTGTTTCTTTTTGCAAGTGTATCGATTTGCAAGCTGAACACAGTGTGTGGCCCAGCCCCATATGCCACTGACAGCTTCGCGCGCTTCCGCGATGCTTCCGCGTCCTTTCGACGACGACAACGACCACGACGGCTCTCCACATTTAGTGGATGGGCGATTTCACAATGTGGTCCGGTGGGATGAAGTGATACGCGGGCATAGGCACCCCCGACGTCTCCATCGATATCCTGAAACACAATCGGTCGCGTCGTGAGAAACAGTAACATTCATTTCTACCGGTCGTGTTCACTCCAACGAGTACGAGATGAGAGTTCTACGAGTGATCTCTACAAGGGTGGAAGTACAGATTCTTGTAAAACGCATGAAACAAGAAAATCAATTAATGGCTGCGTTCATCAGAAAAAGCAGCTTTGCAACTGTTGTAAGATTCTTTAATATGATTTGTACACATTCAAATTTAGTGAGACAAGACCAATCATATTAAAGAATTTTACGACAGTTTCAAAATTGTTTTCTTCTGCTAAACGGAGCCAATGTCTTTTATTTTATGCGAGGAAGGAAATGAAGGACTTTAATTGGTTTATTTTCTCATGCGTTATGCAAGACTCGGTGCTCTCTTCTAACAGCTACAAAAAATTGGTCCACCTAGTGGATCACGTTTGTGAAAATTTTCAATCATCTTCCAGGACTCTCTCCTCATACTCGTAAGAGAGAACCGAGATAAAATCCCGACACATTTTCAGCATCGGAGGAAAAGACTAACGAGGCTGACTGGCCGAATCTTTTCGTCCGAATAAAGATGCTGCAGCATGCGACGCGGAAGTAGAACACAACACGAATCTAGTGACTCTCCGTGAGCCGTATTCCGACGTAGTATATGTACAAAGCCCGGCGTAGTAAGTATATAAAGTCTCTTAATTTGCATGCCCGGTCTACAAATTTTGTACGAACCATCAGCAAAGTGATATCACAGACATTCAACGTCTGTGTCGAACCTGCGAAACAAAGCTATTACTACGTCTGCCAAGAATGCAGAGCAACAACGTTACCGCGCGACTCCGGAGGTCTATAAAAATTTTTATCACGTGATACGTACTTTTCTCGAGGATTTCTCGCGAGCCCGGAAGGATTCGGATGGTTGGTCGTACATATTTGGTAATAAAAAAAAAAAGATTGCGCAACGATTGAATTGGAAAAAAAATGAGAACTGAGAAACGTAGTAAATGAGAACTTCGCAGCCAACAGGATAAATCGATTAACAGGACTACGAAGGAATGGATGGTGCTTACCAAAAACGGGCAGGAGCCTGGGTCAAGTTGGTTGGATGGATACATCTTCTCTTTTTCTATCTCTCTTTCTCTCTCTCTCTTTCTCTCCCTTTATCTACATCTCTCCCTCTCTCTCTCTCTGTACGAGTTTCTCTCCGATCTTGGTTACGCTTTTACGTGTACGTGGTGAGACATGGTACATAAGTATATATACGAATTTCAATAGACCGTACTCTCAGCGTACATTGAGCGTCAAAAAGTAGCCGGTCCTGATCCGAATCCTACGTTTGCCATGATTGACATAAATGTTGCACGAAAGATGAATATATCAGGCGCTGAATGTACCAGAATACGGTCAAATTATGTACAATCTGTTCGACAGCAAAAAGTGCAAAAAATGCTCGCGTTAATCAAAATCGTGAAAAATGTATTGTAAAAAAATGTTAAATTTGATTTGAAATGTAACTATTATTAAGGCTGAAGAAACGATAGAAGAGGCCATGTCGCATTTTTATAACAAATCGAGATATCTTCATATGCAAAATCGTTCCTGTTCAAAGGTATAATAAACCGAGAATGTATATTTCTTTCATTCACTTTTTCTTTCAATTACACCAATTTAAAATATCGCTGAAAGATTAACGCAAAAACGTTATGCTTAAACAAGAAGGTGGTAATAAAACGTTCAAGTGCCATAAAGGTGGTCGCGCAATATATTGGAGGTATTTCATTTCCAATCTAAAAGGAACATGTTGCTTTCCGGATAAAAGATCGTCGAGAAATAAATTTTTCGCTATCGTTTATGTCCATTATACATTTTTCCTGCGAACCAATACATTGCGGGACCTCACTCGCAGGAACGCCAGAGCTGTTTTTATTTGGTATTGTATTTCTCTTACTGTATTAAACACGCCTAGCTTTATTTAACAAGATGATACAGGGTAGCTAAAGTCTGTTAAGCATGTAAGCTCTGCGATATCATTATAGACTAATGTACATCTCAAGATTATCTGCCTACAGGATTCTATGCACGATGTAGGAATACCAGGTACAGTAATGGCTTCCCTTAATAAATCATTTGTCCCAAGTAATGAAATTTTGATTTCGTCTTAATACAAGTACTCTTTTAATTTTTCCAAATTAAATATAAAACTGAAATAGTTCCTTGATTTATTATGTTATCGTTATACGCATCGCTTCACTTGATATACCTACATGCATGATGGGACTGTGAGCATTTTCTAACGCATTTCCTCACGATTTTCTCATTTATGCTTTTTTCATTGTAAACAGTCACTTAGAGTCCTGGGCATGAGTTGACATGATTTATTGTCTCGAGAAAGAAATGGAACGAGACCGTACAATCTAAAATGAAGAAAACGCAATGAAGATATCTCGCGATCATGGCGACGGTTGATCCGATCGGAATAATTTTTCTGCAAACGGGACTGATTCTTCATGCGGTTACCACGCGTTCCGATAAACCATGGCCACGCTCGCGATAGGTCAGTACTTGTTGTGATAATCCGATCATTGTCTCCTACACCCGATCGGTCGCTACTTGCAAGTACTCACTATAAACTAGAAAATTGAGCACACAAAACACTTATCTGGTGATTCCATTATCGATCGTCTTTATCCAAGTGATGAAACATCTTGAACATCCGTCCAAACTGTTTTCCTTTTTCTTCCGCGATTGTTAGACTTGGATCTAACCGATCGTTCTTTCGCGGCTAGACGATTTCGACTTCACGTTTTCCGATAACTTACAGAACAATAAATCAAAAAAACGCTCGAATTACCGTGGAATTAGAAATCTGACTGTGTCTTTTATGTGTATATACGTGTTTTATTAGTTTAATTTCACAAAAACATAATTTACACGCGATTTCATGCAGACCTTGGTCGTCTCGCGTGCATATAAGGATTAAGTTTATTACCGTTACAACACTATGTGTATTAGCTTGATTGATTATTTCATATTGCGATGTCGATTATAATGCTTCAAAATTCACCGTGTTCGCATTTCTAGCGAACTCCTCGATCGCTCGATTGCAGATCGTTTTTTCTTAGAAAGAAGACCGCAAAAGTCATCTAAATCATCACGTTACATGATTATGACATAGTGCATTCTCAACACGATTTATTACAAAGACTGATAAACACATGATTCGAAGAAGATTTCTTTCACGCACTTTCCTTCCCTTTCTCTTCATCACACATATTCATTCACGCGCGCGCGAAAAATTTCTTTCTATCAACAGAATTTCTATCTACTACGAAAAAAAATCACATTGGTATAGCTATATATACTAATAAGTTTTTTTTCAAACAGTTAATTAATTATAATCCATAATATATTGTAATAATAATTGTAATGTAATTATATATTTATATTTTATATAAAAGAAAGGCTGTCTTGCGACGGTGCATGAGCGATCGCGTCCTCCGAGCCTATCAGAAATCGCTCGTAGAAAATGAAACGGTACAAGAAAAGCTACATGTTGATAATTGTAAAGGATCTCGAAAGAATTTATCATTAATAAATTCCGCCGCTTCATTACATTACACAATCAGTCTTTACACGATAGCGTCGAACATCCCGATCTCGGAGGGCGTGTCACGATAGTATATGTGTGTTTCTAAGACTTAGCATCGGATCATAATCGGGTTTAATAACACAAAATATTCCAAACGCTCCAATCTGCCTTTTCTTTTTCCTCAGCTAAAAATAATACATCAAAAACAAATAAAAATCCTACAAAATGTTTCCGTACAGTGATTCTTAGGAGGAAGTGAGCTAATATGGGCAAGCGGAGCATTCTGGTATCTCCAGAAAAATGATTAAAAAGTGTTTCATTTTTCTGGAAAAAGCTTCCTTCTTTCCAAAATCAGTTTCCAAAATCGTCGATCGATGGTAATCTTTCGTGATCAAGAGGTGATTGAGAATCATCTTCTTCCTCGGCTTCTCGTGCAATTCTCCTCAATCCTCTCTACCCATTTAGACAATCGTACTCACGCTCCCATCTGAACAATCATTTAATAACACAAAACGACGAATCAATCCTTCGCCAAGTCTTCGTACTCGCTACCCTGGCGTCCGTACGCACTTTTTTTCGGTGTATTACACAAGTGTACGCTAAAAGTATGTAGTAGTAGATTTGTATTTATGTGTAGTGTTCCCCCTGTAACATCATTATCATCCTGCTGCTTGTCCGTTCATTCAGTACGGATTATACTTGGTACGCTCGGACTTGAACTTGCCGCTGTCGGTCGGGCCTGGTGCGCCCGGGCTACGGAGCCTCGGCGTAAAGGTCTTGTGCGATCGGTGCACGCCGGTAGTCTGGACCGGTAGCGCGGATGCAGCTGCGCCAGCAGCACCACCTAGCAATTCCGTGAGTCCGCCGAGGGCGGTGAGGCTAGATAGGGCGTTGAGGGCGCCTGGCTTGCTTAGCAGCTGAGCCAAGGGGATGGCGCTGGCCAAGGGAGAGGCAGTGGTAGTGGTGGTAGAGGGGGAAGCACTGGCCCCGGATGCTCCGGGAGTGGTACCGCTGCCAGGGGTTTGGGTATTATGGGCCTCTAGGTTAGCTTTCTGCAGTTCGACACTGGGAAAAGACACAAAATGTAAAAAGGTGAGGGCGGGAACGTTCCTCGTAAAACTGTGTGTCAAAGAGATTAAAAAAAAAATTCAACATAAGAGATGATAAAGTAAAAAAAAAAAGATAACAGTAAAGTAGTAGCAATAGAGTTATAGTAGTAATAGTAGCAGAGTAGGAATAGAGTAAAAGTAGTAGAAGAGCAGTAGTGATAATAATAGTGATAGTTGCCGCGTAGAACATAAAACAATATGAAAAAAAATGACAAAAAAAAAGGAACCATCAGAAAACAAGATAAACTAAATCACAAGTTGTAGGCTTAGAGAGTTACGTCAGAGGTGCTCTGTGGAGCATGATTATCACGTACACCGGCTACGTGGTTCGTGGGGGGAGGAGGAGGAGGAGGAGGAAGGTCTTCGCGCCAGGTTGCATTTAGACTCTATCAAATGTCCACGGACATTCATACTGGACATAGACTGACTTGCTAATGAGCGCCAGTCAGCCGTATCCATGGAATGAGACCGCCGAACACGGAATCGGTCGAAATGCATCCTGATCGCAAGGAGCGCGGAGGATGTATACGAAGAAGAGAAGAAGATAAACACGCGTTCGCTAGTCTACTCTTTCAGAATACAAATTCCTACAAAAATAAATGTCACATCCACCGCTAATAAGTAGATTTGCGAACGATGCGATTGTCTCTAGGTGTAACGGGCTTATGGTTCGTTATACAGACGAGAGACACCATTGAGGGATATTTCCGTTTCATGATTGCGTCATTTGTAATTCGTGTCAATAACTAAAAGTCGATGGTCTCTACGTCGGTAGAACGAGCCATTTGCCTCGTGGCTTATAGAAAAGGCAAAAATCAAAGTAAATCAGGCACAAGTATGCACTCTGCCACAAGTCGCGTTAATTGCGTCATACAGCTGATATGTTTGAGATTACGAGATATGCATATAATCGCGACGCATAAATGATCAATGATCGACTCTCAGATATACGTCATGTAAATGAGAAATTAAAACTAGATAAATGGCAGAGCGCAGACCTGTGGCCACGACAGGAGTGCCGGGATACACGATACGTAATAAATATGATGACAAAGTTAACGGGCAAAATACAGAAGTATCGAGATGATAAATATATATAACGACATTGCGCTATTTATATGCAGTAGTAAAATGTGAGTGGCAATCTGGAATAAAATATAATGGATTATAATTATAACGTGAGGGTGTACGTGTGTAAAAGTGTATTGATCCGCGTGTTTAAATCGTACTTGGCTTGATGCTGGTGGGGTCTTACGTGTGTGGCGCGAACTTGTGCCGATTTTTTGTTTGTCGTCCTCGAATCTCGTCGACGACTACGTTAGTACCGTTCACCATTTCTAATGTCGCTATGATGGAAGTAGATTAGTTCCACAGCATAATTCAATTAAAAAAAAAGAAAAAATAATTAACAGATCTTCAACACCGACCAATGAACATTAAGCGATGGCAACAACAGCGATGAAAGCATATAACTAAAATGTAAAGATGCTACGGCGAAGGTTCCTGATAAGGACGAGGAAAACCCTTCACATTTTATCGCGCAAATAAAGACATGACGTTTACAACGTAATGCATATATTTCTAAATATAATGCCAGAAACATACTCGCGGCTCCAAAGATAAATGTATCAGTATCTTGTTTTCTTTTTCGCGAACTGAGTTATAAATACACAAAACGGAAATGTAAGCATAAATGTTATAAGCTGATCGTCCATTACCGGGAGCCTGTCAAACTAGAAAGAAATTTGTGTCATTAAAAAACGAATCGAAAGGAGGAACTGTGATACGATTGTTTGGGACTGTTCAGGATTGATTGTCACTAACAGAGCGACAGTCCTCGTACATCTTTTCATTATGTCTTTCAGTCGGTAGTTTATTTGCTTGAAAGGACAGCCAGCGACAATGGGAACAGATGTTGAACGGAGTTGTGTCTGCAGGATACTCGGGGTACTGGACCTGGAAGACAGGACCTGGAAATAAAGGATTAAGATCCTCTTCCGTCTTACGGCCGACGTCGATGTCTTCCAGTATCTGCATACATGAACGCTGGTACCTCGATCATGGCCGTCGAGATGCGACGTCTTCTCCTCGCATCGTTACTTTACGATTACGTACGACCTGTTTCGCTGTAAACTGAGGTGGCGTTACGCGACGCAATTTCTTTTCTATTATTTCACCCAGAGAAATTTTCCCCGATGATTATCATTATGTTGCTTGTTAACAAACTACGCGTGTATTTTGCAGCAGTATCATCCTCAGCGTAACACCACCTCTTTCATAACATCTCTCGCGGCGACACGCAGTAAAGACGACTTTTCTCCTAATGCCAATTATAATCTTCTCAGAAACAGAGTAAAACTTCTCTAATGTCCGTTTTAACTGCAAATTTCTTGGGAAGAAAATAAAATATATATCGTCTTATAACTATCCCTCTTACGGGAACAACGTATTGTTAAGCATATTGTGTTGTTAAAATTTTATCTTTAATTTTAAATTAATGTATAGTTTACAATATTTTGTGCAGTAGCTTAATGGGCAGAGGAAAATGGACGAAAGTCATCTGTACGCGAGTTGTCGTGAGCAAGGGTGATAACAGTAATGATGGGAGATATCGCGAGGAGTGCCGATTCGACTATCCCTTACATTTAATCTCATCATTAAGAAGACATCAAAATTAAGTGAGGCAACAGGTTGTATGAGGAACGAGTAGTACAAACAGGCGAATCGGCGGATCTCGATCATAGGTAAAGTCAACAAGAAATCACTTTACGCCAGTGACACGCGCCACCAATTTGGCGGACAGTGTTGGCAGAAATACGGGAAAAATAAATAAAAATAAATAAATAAATAAAAAGAGATCAAGGGGGAAATGCATCGCGATCCACTGTAAAACGTAGCCGGGACGAGTTCGACTGCTTTCTATTGAAAATGGAATTCGGTGACACACCGAAAGCCGAACTTTGGACGAACCTCTTGGAATGGCTTCTTGTCGGTTCGACCTTCGGTTTGATAGGCTTGAGGAATATGGGATACAGACCACGTAGTACTCACCTCATGTTGATGAGATATTGTGCCAACGCCACGGCGTCCGGGTTCCCGGTTATGGTGATCGTGCGGTCCGTTGCTCCGCCCTCCCTCTCCTCACAGTTGCTGATTCGGATCATGGCGCCGGAGATCTGACGGATCTCGGCGATCTTGGTACCGCCCTTCCCAATGATGCAACCGATCAGCTCATTTGGCACGGTCATCTCATGCGTCTGATTGTTCGCCGCCGGTTGCTGCCTGTTCGTGTTGTTCGTACGCAGCTGGCTTCCAGCCAATGCAGCTAACGCTATGCCATCAATTGCGCAAATATTAGAAAAGTTTCTTTATATATATATATAAAAGGCTGCTTCTATAAATTAGTTGCATCAAAGTTGAATTGTGGCTTACTGATGTTATCGCTCTTCTTTCAGTTCTACTGTAGAGCTCCAATAAACTTTAACTAATGTTTGTGAAAACAGTTCATAGATAAATTTAACTTCTCATTGCGAACCTGTTTTAACATAACTCTTAGTCGATAAAGTTTGTTCACACAGGAAAAATTTATTGCAATACCATATTGATTATTATCAACTTAGTTTTAAAATTAATTTCCAAATACAAATTTCAATAGACAGTCTACTGTCAATTGCCTCATAAATTATGTTAACAATCGTAAAAAATGTACAAAATTATAATTTTTAAAAATATATCAAAATAGTTGAGAAAACTATCAGTTTAAACATGTAAATTTGTTTCTTGCGAAATGTAACACAGTCGCGAGACTGATACCACTCAACATCATACAATTCAATACATACCACAATGAAAATAAAGAGATAAAACGAGTGTATTAATCTCTTCTACATAATTTTTTGCGAGACAGAGAACAACATCAACAGGGTACGATTGCCAACTTACAATTTCTTTGAAGACATGTATTGACTTACCTGCTGGATTAAGACCACCCGTATTTGCCGGTGTGGCAAGACCTCCAAGGCCTAAGGCTGCTAGTCCAGCCAAAGGATTGCTGCCCAGTTTGCCCATCTGTAACAACGACGAAGAGATCCATCGTTCAAAAATAGGGGAGGGGGGGGGGCCCGCGTCGAACAATCACTCGGGGTGTGCTTAAGAGGAGATGGGGTTTACGACGACACCGAGAAGTATATCTATGTATGCTTGAACATGTTCGCCACCTCGCACATTACGCTCGAGAATTTCCAATTGCGAGCAAGAATTCTTAGCTCAGGGGCAGCCTCGCTGAGAGAGAACGTTCGGTTCTACGTAAGAAGGGGGACAGGTGATATCTTTCACAATCGACGATTTAATTCGACCATCCCGGACTCATTACGTCGTGACATAATCAATGCCTCGTCCCGACTTCCTGGAACCGGTCCGACGGCTTCCTCATAACGGGCTCTACGATAGCCATTCGAGCGTACCGTTTTTAATTACATATATCGACCTAGAGCAAAGACTTCAATGTCGCAAATAGATGAAATTTTAACGACGTTTGTTCTTACTTCTCTTATGTGGAAAGTTTACTAGAATGTTAAATTTATCTTTGCGTATCAGTGTATGTTATCTTTCCGTGTAAATAAATTGTTAATTCGATGTAGAAACTATTGTAAAATAGATCAAGATTCGAAAAGACATTCTAGTAACAACTAATATCTAAGAGAAGATAAGATTAAATTCCAATACTTGTACGAATTCCATTGTTCAATTTTTCAGCGTTTTGAAGCCTTGGGCCGTATTGCTATACTCGATCTGTTTTTGAAAATACTCTAAATTTCGTTTTTTAACAACAAATAATCCATCGAAAAAATTCCTTTGCTTCTGACGTCATAATGTATGCGGAAATTGAAGCCAGTAGAACCGTGTCTACCAGTCGCCTTAAGCAGTCTCCAACATTCCACGCGTTTATCGCAAAAATATAAAATCTCGCGTGCCTCTGAAATGCATTAAATTGATAAACGGCAATATATCCCGGGAAAAATTGCTCTGGCAGGATAAACGGTACGCAGAATGGCCGTCGATAAGATAAACTATTTCGAATCGCGTTGCGTTACTTCGAAAATCGTGGCAGAAATTACTCAGGGACAGCTTGATGAGGAAGGGGCGCTCAGAAATTACAGAAAGAGAGAGCGAACGAGCGCGGAGAGAAGAAGGATGTCTATATCCTTGTATTCTCGCGATACCGTTAAATCGCGCGAAATATAACGCAGCAATTCTCTTTGCACCTACCGTTTCCACGTTATACAAATACTTACATGAAGTTTAGCATCAGTTTATTTGCACCGACAAAGATTTTATCGCATTTCATCAAGTATAATCCACTACGATCCTATTAACGGCATGTTGCAGTTACTATTGTAATCAGAAGATGACTAAGTATTCTAATAATTAGTCATAAATTATTTTGATTGGCTGTAATAATTATTTAGTAAACATTAAAACAAGCTAATCGTTTGAAGCAAATACAAAACGTTTGAAGAAAAATTGTATCTAATTACTAATAATGATATATTCTATTTTTATTTTCAAAAAGGATGAAATGAAAGGTAGATAGGAAGGATGGGATGTATGTATGTACCTTAAACGAGTGATAATACTTCATTCTCTATATCACTGTTGTCAACTAAACTAACTTTATGTGCAAAATTTCTAAGCGCTGCTGCACTGTATGAAACATGTCTGAAATTAATATATATTAAGATAATATATTACCTACATATACATATATATATATATATGCATTATTAATATACATTATCTTAATATATACATTTATATTGTTGTGATGTACGTAGAATATAAATACATAAAATTTCTAATGTCAATAGTTAATGACAACCGACGAATACTCTATATTTGCTGAGTTTTTCAATCGTTTATCGGATATATTTTCAGTAATTGGAAATTCAAGAAAAGGAGTTTGGAATGTTTATAATCAATAAATTATCTGAAATATATTAAGGGTCTATTCACGAATATGTAAACGCCTCTCGTAGACAAACCGTCCCGACGTGATCTCTCTAATGTGCTTAACTGGTGGAAACGTAACAGGGCAGCCCACCCTTACACGAACTCGTCGCTGACTCTTAGCTAAAAGAGTGCCGGAAGCCATGCTATTCTAAACAGGACGCCAAGAGGACAATGAGCAACTCAGGAAATGGAAAAACGAACAAAACGTAGCGCGACAAGAGCGATATTAAGTGCGTGTACACGTATTTATGGTCGCGTAACTTATCTTTCTCACGAAGTTGAAGTTAAACAAAGGTTTACGAACATATAAATAAATGTAATTGGTATACTAAACAGATCAGTGTATCGAAAATAATTTATTTAAAAACCACTCAATAGTTTGAAAGAAATTAATATTTTTCAAATATTTTTTTATTTTAATCAAAACATTCGAAATATTTCATCTGGAAAATATGTGAAATTTGTTTTAAATTTTATATTGTTATTATTTTTATTATTTCTCTTAATTTGAACCAAAACTTGAACTTCCTAAAATCATAATAAAAAAGTGTATTTAATCGTTTTCACAATTTTATAGCAATTTAAATAAGTCTCGTAAATAATTTTAGATCTAAAATATTTAGATCTTAAAAAATATTTTTTAAATACAAATTTAATATGATATATATCATTAAAATAAAATTCCACAAAATTTGAAATTGGACAATTGTATTTCATATAAGAAGCGAGAAATAAAAGAAACAATCACGCGAGAACTAAATTGGAATTTTAAATACATTTTTTTCCTACGTTCTCAATTGAATCTTAAAGGAAATCAATTTCAAAAAGGTCGTGACCGGATAAGGGAAGCCAATTTTAAAAAGGAGAGCAGGAAACGATTTCTTATGTAAGACCGTGTAGAGATAAACAGAAATAAAAACACAAAATCAGAGACAGTGTATCAGGAGAAGAAGCGAAGTAGTAACCGTGTACTGTAAGCCGTAAGAGTTCATCAAGCAGATTGAGAAACTGAGAAAGTATTAAGAAGGGATCGTGAAAGTAGATATAAAGCGCAATAGTAATAATATATCTAGGTAATCTACCTCTTTTCGTGCCACGCATGCATGTCCTTGTTCGTTTGTGATTTTGTCATAATTTATTTATTTATCGTTTCTACAAATTAATCCCACCCTTTCAACCACGTCTCTCGAAGTTAACGGATAATAATCGAACTGGAAGGAAAATAAAAAAACATAAAACAAAAGAGAATAAAAAAAATAGCCAAGCCGTAAATATATCTATGGATAGTGGGATGTTTATGGTATAGACACGTTTCTTTTTTATTGCGCATTTTGTGTTCGTTTGTTTCGTTTTCGGGTAGCAAATCGGACTCGAGGAAGTCGGGCTCCGTGTCGGACGTCGGTCGTTGAAGAGCGCACAGAAAGAGAAGATAGGACAGAAGGTGAGACACGACGACACGTCATCCTGATAATGCTTTATGAAAATATTTACATGAATTACCTCAAAAGTTTCGCCATAGAAGATTCGATAAAAAAGATAATGAGATTTTCTATTTATAAAAATATTTTAGGAAAAGTAAACGTATTTTGATACAAATCAACAAACTGGAAAAAAAAAGGCCATTAATCTTTACCTATTTTGGTGTAACGCAAAATTTAATTTACATTTACGTTTTCAAAGCGAATGATAAAATTTACCAGAATTATATAATCATTATTAAAAGGCAAAAGATTGAAACATTTGATCTGGTACTCCGTACTCTCTCATATTCTGATATTGATATCCGAATGTAGAAACACAAAAAGCAACCTTTTTACTAAATTAAAATATCAACCAAGTTATATAAATATATCAAAAAACATAACAAACTGTCGTAATTAAAATATTGAAACAGCATATTCGACTGATCAAACTTCCTATCGTGTCTCAAGAACAATTCAATTGATCATACAGGCATTTATCAGAATGACGTTTCATGGCATCTGCCGATCGATCGGCCGGATGAGTGGATTTTTAAAGCACTACCATAGTAGCCCGGAATTAGAACGTCGGCTATTTGGTGATTTGGCCTCCTCATTGATCGCAAGCCGTTCGTTGAGACTTGTAGCAGTAACATCTGGGACCTTCTATACGTCTCTCTCTCACTCTCTCCCTGACCGAATCCAACGACAAGCCATGACGAATCCATTGTGCGACCCGTGAGCAAGCATTCATGCTAAGCAGGCCCGATCGTTTGGCGCGAGGCTCGGAACAAATCCCCATTTTGCCTCCAAGTTCCTTCCGAGAGAGCGCACAAATTGCTGCTCTCGGACGATGATCGTATCGAGAAAACTGGGCTATTTATCTGCTTGATGCAGTACGTCTGTGCCGAATACATATTACAGAGACCGATCAATTCTAATGTGCATATCCTGTATTTTTCTCATCTAAAAATAGATGTGAACGATAGGAGATAAAGATAGATTATACATAAAAGAATAGAACAACTAATTGGTAGTTCAATACGATCATCAACGGAACGATATAAATGCAGTGCACGACCAAAATTTTCAGATACCAAGTTTCAGATAAATATTTCAAATTTGAATTTGCAATATTTGCATCGTCATTAAAAAAGACGCAAATCAATTAATATAAAATAAAATCGATTAATATTAAATATCGATTAATATTGAATAAGAATAATTAGCTCCATTTTATTAAATTTTGTCAATTCAGTTCTCTTAGAACTGAATTGACAAGAATCAAACTCAATCGCGTAAATATAATTATTCATTAAAATCAAACGTATTAACGCGAACTTCATTACTTCAACCTGATATCGGAGCTCACGTTACGTCGTACAATTGCACTCTTTGTACATAGCATGCATCTTAAAATTTCTCTATGCACTGTGAAGGACGGCAAGCAATATTTAAGGTGATCAACCCACTACCAAACGCAAGCATACACAAAGGAGACACGAGTACATACAGATTCAGGTTGAGCTTGTTAGAAGCGTCGGTGAACGTCTATAGGATTTAGAAAAAAAAAATAATCCAAAGAGGAAAGCATGCACGTAACAGCTCATACGGATATAAAGCAAAGCTGGAAAATTTCGCCTGACTTCGCTGATATTATAAAATTATAAAAAGATATTTGTCTATTCTAAAAATATGAAAAGCTTTCTCATCACTATTATTAAAATATAATTTATAAAAATTTCAACTAACAAAATACATCGTGAACATTTCGTATTTCTGATGGAAGAAACCTTCCAACATCGAGTGGCAAAGTAATTTCTGATGTAATCATGTTGGAAGTTGTTATTAAATATAATTACAGCAGGCTTTATTTCGTTCCATGTTATGTTTAATCAGATGTTTCTGCAGTCGAAGTCACGCGACTAGATAGAAAATGTTTGAAGGTATGTACGGTCGGAGCTTAATCGTGCGACAGGATCCTTTCGATCGCATCTTCAAGCAATCGAAGATAAGAATATCGTGACATGAATATTCCTGAATAGAAAGCTCAAGACCGTACAGGGATATCGAGCAGAAAAGCCAAGGTATGATGCATATATGCGGAGGGAGACAGAGGACAGCAAAGAGTTTCAAGAGGGAGAGGACCAAGTGACCTAGATAATAATGAAATATATTGATAAATTGTAAGCTGCCACGACATTTGGTGAAAATTGGAATAATCTCGAATCCAGAATTACATTAAAATTAGTGTAAATTTTTATCAATACATTGTTTACAAAATAATTATAAATAAGATACGCAAACATTTCAATATGTCTAAATATTATTTTATTATTAATGAAAAAAGAAATGATTTTTAAAGCATGATATAAGAGATGTAAGCATTATGTAAACTGTTATTTCAGCTTGGAACGTAATATAAATATTTAATATATTTCGAAATAATTTCCAAAATGTTTCATCTGTATCTTAAATAAGAAATTTATCATAATAACTTTTCTCTATAGCCAAGATTCAATATATAGCAAAAAAAATTTAATAAAACTAAATCACAAAGAAGATCAAGGATCACGATCAAATAAAAGCATCACATTAATCTATTTCTCACAACCACGTTCTTTTGCCTTTAACGAAAACTACTGTTCAGTCTCTGTTGCAACAAACAAGTAACTACACGCTTGACCATTCGTTTATCTATAAAACTTTCTACCCTCCGATTGCGCATTAACTTAACCGCAAATTAATCCCACTAATACCATGAACAAGTGTAGATTCGTTGCGCAAGTGATTTCTCTTTCTTAACTATTATACAAAAAAAAACATAATAATATAGATATGAAAACGTACTACAAATAAGAAATTTTTAACTACGTTAATATTAGCCTTTCAACATATATTCAGACGTTTCTATTCAGATTTTCAGTTAGATCTATCTAGTTTTCTAAAGAAACAGCTTCGAACGTACTGTTTCCTCGAGAACCATCTGACTCTCTTTCTTCGTAATCATTCCAACGTGAAACCATCTGCCGAGGTTGCCAGTTTGAAGTTTTGCCGGATATATTAAGGATTGTGTACAATAAGGAGACACTGAATCGGGAGGGTATATTGATTTTTCGGGCAAGTGGAAATCCATCGTATGTATATTGTTACCCGGGAGATATGTGGTAGCCAGGTTGGTGATCAAGAAGGGGTACGGGAGAGGGTGGAGCACGAAAAACAAAAGACTTACGGCGTCTGCCACGAGGTGTGCGGGCGGGAGGGCTGCCTGCAAGTGTCCACTCTTCAGCAGGGGGTCGGCGAGGCCTGCCACGCTGGCGTGTAAGGGGCTTGGGTGGAGAGGATGATGTGGGGTTGTAAGATGGGCCGTGGATAGGAGCGGGTGCCCGTGAGAAGCGGCGAAGGCCGAGGATGAGGGGTGGGCCGCGAAGGGCGAGGTCGTCAAAGTTTGGGTGTTCAGCGAGGGTGGGGTGGGCCCGGCAGCGGGCGCGGGCAATGGTAATACTGTACTTACGTCCGAGTGGGCGGGCACCGCGTAATTACCCTGGATGGTGTAGGCTTGCCCACCAGCCAGGATCACTGGCCCACCGACTTGGGGTTTGGGGCGATAAGGGATCGTGGCACCTTTGGGAGGGGACTGAAACAGAAAGAAACATACGCACGAGTGTGAATACACCGATCGAGCCATTACATTTGGTATAGCATTCGCGTTATCGCATCAAAAGATGGCTCTTTTATTCTATTAAAGTCCAAAAATAACACGATGTGAATAAAAAAAGAATTATTTTAGCGGCGAAAACTTTGTTTATAACTGCAGATACGTATATTGCGTTTCTCTGAAGAAACTTATAAATAATGAAAAAAATTCAAATGTAATTATTGTTATGAATACATTGTTATGAATACTAATTTAGTCTAGGCTTTAGTAAATTAAATCTAATTCGTCATAATTTAATGAAATTATTTAAATATGTGCAATCTTTCCTTTTCAAGACTGCATCGATATAATTATAAGTATTGCCTTTAAGTTTCGATCATCAATGCTCACTATTTGTTAACAGATTAATAACTAAACTGTAAACTGTATTTCTATACCTATATGTTCAACAAAATTAATAGCGCGCTTATGAACGATTATGTAGGTTGTTTTCGGTTATAATTATTACAGTTTCTACAAAGTACTAAAGTGCGAACTATAACACTTAGAATGATCGATCATTATAACGTCGCAAAACGATGGTACGTACCTCTAGCATAACGCAGCAGATATGATATATGCATTGCGTGATTGCCTCGCTGGTACCGGATATGGTTACTGCACGTTCCGTCGAATTAGGCAGCATCTCAGAAGCGACTTGAATGGAGGCGCCAGTAACTTCCCGAATTTCTTTGATCTTGGAACCACCCTTGCCGATCAGGGAGCCGCATTGCGAAGCGGGGACAATCAGTCTGAGTGTGATGGGCGGCCTCGATACACCACCGCCACCTCCGGCACCGCTACCCGGAACGTCGTGGAACTGAGAGCACCACTCCTCGAACTTCTTGCATATCAGCGTGAACGCCTTGAAGATCGAGTTCGTCGGCCCGGTGACAGTCACTATCCGTTCCGGACAGGAACCGTCGGAGATATTGATTTTCGCGCCGGACTGCGTTGGACGAACGGAAAAAAAGTATTACCGATCATGGGTCTTCATATAACATGCACGTGTATAAAGCTATTTTCAGCTTCCAATATTCGATAATCAATGCCTGCTATCCTGAGAGGTCAAATTAGTGTGTATTAGTGAGAAAATGATTAAAGTAGAAAACAAATTTAAAAGACTTGTAAATGTAATCTGTCCTTGATAGCTGAAACCGATCGTAAACAATAATAATTTACATTCTTTCACGTAGAATATCATCTTACGATACGTGATGCGGTTACACATAACTTTTTTTTTCATTATCGGAAAACGTATTTCATCTTCAAGAATTAATACTTACTTCTTCACGGAACCTCTTGACAATCTCTCCTTTTTTCCCGATAATGCTACCAACTTCCTGCAATAAAATAAAAATATTACGTTAATTTAAATACTATTTTTCGTAAGATCTCTTATTGTATATTAAATTCAATAACACAAACGTACATACGCTTGGTTACTTATGTTCTGAATAATGTAGAAATTGTTAACAAATCTGTTGATGAAACGAAATAGCGCGATATTGTAATATTTGTTATTTATTATATCGTATAATAAAAACATAATTGGTACAACACAATTACATATCAGTTGTCAATCGATAATGATAGAATATATGTTCAACGCGTTCGCGAGCAGATGTATAATATACAATTTTGCTAAACTAAATATATCGATATCATTCATTTTTGATATATCAATACGTTATGCATAGAAAAAAGTAACTGTGACATATATGCGATAAATGACATAATTGGCACGCGAGCCTATAATTAGTAGATATACACAAGTAGCTGATGTCCACTCAGACTTCGTGTCTATCCTGATACCATCTGACCTCGGATAATGTCACTGTTAGGTTTTCGAAGCGACCAGCGGGTATATTCCTGCGTTTTCTCTAAACTTAGACGATGTCTCCCGGACGAAATGCCAACGTTCCTAGCGACGTTAACGAGTTTCACGTACCTCGCGCTATCGGTTTATCGTTCCCTGGTTTAGGAGGGCCAAAGTTTCATGCATTAAAACAACAGCTCGTCTGTTACCTCGGAACATTTTATGAGAACGAAGTCGCGTGCCAGCTCAGGCACAAAGTCACAAACTTACTCGAATACATTTCGCGATGCTGACCCTAATTAGATTTATATACTTCCATAGTTCTGCCGTTCGTTCCACGCGAGCGTAAGTAAATCAGCGACGGCGACAGTCGCGAATTCCTATTGACGTGCACAAGGTAGCGCGTCGGACAAGCGTCATCGCCGACGAATTAGATGCACGCCGAGGCAAATATAGCTGGAACAAGAAGACAGCGAGACGATGAGGGAAGAAGACTTGGCGACGCGCCAGCTATGAGGGTCAGGCGACGATCGGCAAAATTCGCGAGATTACAAGTCCTCGAGAGATCGGATCGTGTCGAGCGGCGTTATCAAGTCAGGATAGAACGTCATAGCGGCTCCTCTACGGACGCCGCTTTCGAGAGATAAGTATAGCCACCGTTGCTGTACCGGTCAATAGTTTGAGCGCAGCCTACTTTGATGAAATAAGATTAAAAGTTTTCCGATATTGTCCTACTTCTGTAAATACACCACGTCGCCATAAGAGGTGAAATAAAGCGCAAAAGATAATGAATAATATACTATGACATATAGAATTTAAAAAACCCAGCTTCAAGTATCTTACACATCTTGAAAGTTAATTTCAATTTCAGAAACGTCAGCAAAATACATTTTAGGTATACAGTAAACTATAAGTGGCAAGCGAGAGAGATAGTTTTATTGAGCTACAAGTTTGTCGTTCAGATTAAATTAAGTCTTTTAATCTTTGGGTAAATGAAGACGGTGCAGTAAAAATAAGAGGTCTTTTGAGTTGTTCTACGATTGGAGGAATGATTCCTGAGGGCTCGCGTATATGACCGGTTGGCCGGTGGCCCTGGCCGACGTCCAAACCTGCTGGAGTCCAGACTTGCCCAAAAGCCCAAAACAGAACACATTGGTGGCGAAGAAAGTAAGAGGAAGCAGGAGCGACCCTCTTCTCAGTGTGTTTTGGGATTATCAATGGTCATCTCTCTCACAAAATGATTGGATCCAACCGGCGCGCGGGGTTAGAAAGACATTGATGATACGTGGCTGAGACGGAAAGAAAATATTTGGATAACAGGTACGAGTCGGCTTGTACTCGAGCCAAATATTTACGCCATAATGATATCATAAGATCGAACACGCACTAACGACCATGACTTTGTTCAACAGTACAATATGGGAGCATATTTTGCTGCTGTTTACTAGAGAAATTAAAAATACAAGCAATTGCAATTTTTTATTCATAGAAGTTTTGCAATGCTTTTTTTGTTGGCGATATAGCTAAAAGAACTGTAGATCAAAATGTATTTCAGTTTTTTGTAAAGGTCGGCAGTTTATTAAACTGTTTTTTACCGAATTATATTGATTTATAGATCGTAGTCATTAAGAATGAGTCATTAGGACTATGCCATCAGAAGGATAATGGAAACACGATAATCCGCGATGCATCCGCCGATTGGCTTTCGGCCCTGGCCGGTGTCCAGTCTGCTCGGAAGATCACGGTGCGTGCTCCACCAGCAGACATAATGCCTCTCCGGCCAAAAATGCGGCCAGACGTATTTATTTCGCGCGAAGGAGGCTGCCCGACTATCCGTTTACCCGTTTGCAGAGCTTCCAAAGTGCGTTTTGCAACACGCGCGATCACGACATTGGCGAGTCGAGTAAAGAGGCGTATAATTAATAAACGTCCGTGAAAGATCAATGTGTCCGCCATGTCCAAATTGTAACGTCAACATGACGACTTGAAAACACTCGACATTGCTTGAGTTGTTGTATTAAAACTATTGTTACTGCGTAAGATGTGATAAAATATAAAAAAAAAGGATAAAAAAGAACTTTCAATTTACGAAAAGTATAACTTAAAATGTATATACAATTATAAAATTACAAAAGAGTTAGATGAATCTTGAATGTTTAGCCTAGAAACGTTCTGTTAAAATATTAACAAGTATTATTAATTAACGAAAAAAAATAGTCATGTAAGAGATGTTCGTAACCTGCTAATTGGATTAGTCTTGTACTAAATGTACGCGTAATTAGTAAGGTACTACTCTTTCCGTCATTAATCTTCAAGCGCGAGTTGATTTTCATTCTGCTGTAACTAAACGCAGACACCTCGAGGGAAAAAAACACGTTGACGAGGGGACGAACCCCTGGATACGCCGTGACGTAGTCGACATATCATCGTCGAGACGTTAAAAACACGGATATAATGAGATTTGCCACGGAAATATTTTCTCGTACAGGGGACACGGTGGTTCATTTAGATCCGGTGAGAGAATCAGAGTCAGAGGGTTGACAGACTGTCGGATGACCCTTCGTAAAGATCGGAGAGATGCCGGATGAGACTGATCCTCACGCGCGGCTTTAGGCGGTCAAGTATCGTTCAAATATACAGGAATACGCAAAAATTTCTATGTCGTACTTTAGCACGAATCCATATGGATGCACGCGTGTTTGTGTATATGTATAGGCTAGTCTCTCTTACTTCTCAGCTTTCTAACGTCGGAATTCCTTTCCATAATTGAATTTAATTGCTCTACCAGAGTTCACCAACTTGAAAAAATTCTAATGATTTGGTGTTGTCTCATCACAAATCTCTCGCATAACAATTCGATCAGATAAGTAAAATTGAACGCAAAGTTCGTTGGAAAACTTCTAAATTTAGCCACCCGTGTCTATCGTCCTAATACTCAGAAGAAAGAATTAACAGCGAATTGTAAAACTTGGCAATGTACGATCACTGGCGAAAAGATCTGCGCATCGAAAGGGACATAAGCGTCTAACTGCTAGATGCGATTAATTACCGAGACGGCGGACATTAATTACTCGTGCTACGACGAGCAGTATTGCACCTCGCGCACGATAATTAATTACAAGCAGAACGTTGGTAGGTGACGTGTTCCTAGAACGATAACGAGTACAGGCTAAATAAACTTTGACACTTGTCGCGAAAGGCCAGTGCTCCGTGGAGCAACTTTTCTACAGAAATTCCGTTCTTGATAATCTCATGGATGACGTAACTGATATAAGCATCGAATTACGTGCTATTTCCCGGGAAACTTTCACTCTCAATCCGTAGGAAGAAGTTTTCTGGGATAAGATCTGAAAACTGCTCCCTCTTTCAGGATATACTTGTTCTTTTTTGTTATTATGCATATTCGTTCGTGGAATTCTCAATTGACTGTAAAATATGCATGTACGTTTATTAACTATAATAAATAATCATGACTTCATTGTAATTATGGACTTTTTTTAGAAGAAATCGATTTCACGGGACTAGGATTAACGACTCGTAAGAGGAAACAAAACGGCTATTAAAATCAGATTTTTCATCGAGAAGATAATTGAAGATAAAATCTCAGATTAAAGTATCCATAATCCGTGTGCCATTTTCGCAGATGTCTACAAAGGGAAGATGTAACATGCAGGGCAAAGAGCTGGAGCGTGTAACGAAAATTGCTTTTGCCGATGACCACGAGTGCTCCTCCTCCTCCTCCCCTTGTCATCGTCGAACTAAAACGTTCGTGTAATTGCCCTCTGCTTCATTCCTGTGCATGATCTTTTCAATGGTTCTCCATTTTCCCCGTTTTTGAGTCCGTCAACCGAGACTCCGTGTGAGACCCTTTCTTTGAGGACCTCTTTCACCAATCTCTGGTTAAGTAAACCGACGATTAACTTACAATAGTACCAACAGAAGTTCAATGTATCACATCTCTTCTCTCTTCTTCTTCTATGGCCTGGTTCCACAAATGTAACATTAATTTTAATCTCGGTTTAATTTTCTCTTTACCTTTTTTAATTATAAGAATTTTGCAAAAAGACAATATTAAGTTAAACCGAGGCTTAATGCTCGTTTCTATTAATGTACACTAACTTTAATTTCGGTTCAACTTACTTTTCATCTTTTCCTAATTCTTAGAATTAGAAAAAGATGAAGAATTAGTTAGTTGAATCGAGATTAAAAATAATCTTCATTGATAGAAACACGCATGAGATAACTGTTGATGTTACCATCGGTTAGCTTAATCGAAAATTAGTGAAAAAGGCTCAAAATATTTTGATAAGAATCAAAGGATTAAATAAAAAATGCACAGACTTACCAATGTAAGTTCGAAAGTCACGTGGCTTCAATAAACAGACGACGTTTTCTCTCGCCAAGTAATCGATTCTTCCTAATCATTTGCAATGGAATTTATACCCGTCTTTATCGCAGCAAAAATTACTTTAAAATTTATGACCAAGAATACAGTAGTCATGCAATTCCACGCAAATTCAATTCACTGCGTAATACCCTATAAACTTCAATGTAACATGAATCTGATTTGAAGTGCTCAATGCTACAAAATACGCAATATTGATCAATGATATCAACAATTACGATAAATATCAATTTCTCATCGACCTTTCCACAGACAAAAATTTCGATCTCGCCGGAGTGGCCGATAGAAAATCTGTCAGTTTATGCGACACGAAGATCGCAACGTAGTTTACGCGAAAAACAACAACCTCGGATTCTTGGCATCGCGTCAAACGTTCGTATACGTTTTAGGACACATTGTCTGTCTCGTGCGCGGTCAAACGTGATTTCGAGAACATCTCCGATGATACGCTCTACTAGCAGAATTGTTAGAACATTCAAATCACTTTTCAATAGGAGAGATCGCGCGACGTTACATACAACTAGTAACGACAAATGGCCTTTATAAGTCACCTCGACAATGGTATTATCTCAGCCATCACGGTTAATCCTTAGATGTGGTTTGTCGTGGGTAAAACTTATTTCCGTGGTAATGACTTTGATATAACAAAGGACGCTAATAACGTCCTTGTAACTCCGGAATCTTATCTTCCACGTGATTCCGTTCTTCGTATCGATTCATATCTGCGTCGTCGCCGAATGATGACGTCGGGCATGTGGAAACCAATTAAACAAAAACAAAAGATGTTAGGCTCCGTTATTTTAGTTCTCTGGACTTATACGAATACCTGATGTAAAATAAGCTCGGCTTTCCCATTCCGATGGAAGAATTATATTACGTGCCAGAATGCTGTGACCACAATGTGTCGAAAGGCGCGGTCGGCCTCTCATAAATAATTCGCAGTAATTGTCAAAAAGAGAACACTGTAAGTGACAGTGAGGACCGCGAGTGACGCGTTTGAGATTTATCATCGCCACGCCAGCTAAACAATTATGTCTTTTTCTTGGAACTCCGGCAAATACAAGTTACCGCAGTCCAGGAGACTTAATACGGTTCTTAAGACGAAGTGAAAATTACAAAACAGAGCAAACTCACGAGGTGTTAATCAATAAAGTTGTAAATATTCTAGTAAATGCGATCACTCTAGTAATTTTCACCTCGTTTCGAGAACCGTAATAAATTCCCGGAGTGGCCGACGGCGGATGCTTAGACATTTTCATGTGTTAACTTAAACGCAGTAAATCTAAACATATACTCGATCAACAAACGTCGACATGTTTTCAAAAATAGTTGCAGTATGCTTTCGATATATTTTTAAAACGCATCTCACAAACCTTTAAAAATCATACATTCCGAAATGAGATACGAACGATAAATGTGATTTATTCCAAACCGAACCAACGCGCCTCTACAAACGGATATCAATTGATATCCAGTGGGAGGCTGTTTGATGCGAGATTTTGAACGCACACTCTCATATCATGTACACATATACACGCAAATACGAGTTTTCCGCCCTCGATAATGCATTATCTTATTACTGTTGCTTCTCCAATTTCAAATGACGTATATAATAGCAGGACACGCGAATCTCAAATGCTAACGGTATAAAAAAATCTGTTCATATATATTGGGTCGCCGGACAAACGAATGTAAGATGAACGCGAAAGTTGATTAAAAAAAAAAGTATGAAAAAAAATGTTCGAATCCAAAATGTAAAAATATGCGTAAAAAGGACATTAAATTCCTCTGTGCAATCTGGTATAAAACGCTTAACGTTCTGCACTTTGGATTAGTTAAAAAAAAAAAAAGAAGAATGCACGCGGAATAAATCGAGCGAGCGACGTTAAAACACGTGATAAACATGTCCGGCGATTCAGAACGTTGATTTTCAACTCACAGTTTAAACGTATGTACTCGATTAAATAAACTCAATAAAATTATTTTACGCAGAGATATAACGGGTGTAGCTTACTTTGCCCTGCATAATCAGGCGAATGGTCAGGGTGACCGAGGGATCATCGTTCAACACCGGTTTGTTGTCCATGCCGTCCATTGCGTGATTGCGGATCTTGTGGCTTCGATTGGAGACCTTCTCGACGTTCGCGGAGGGGAAGGACGCGGAGGAGGGCAAGGAGGACAGGGGAGAGGTTAGGCGAGTGATTTTGATCGGGGGAGTCTCGGGGGATGTGCTCCTCAAGCGCTCCCAGGTAGTCTCGGTCCTCGTACTAAAATCAGAAATATCTGGGTTACAAAGCCATCACATATACATACCTACTATTGTTCTTTTTTTTCTTTTTCACATATGCTTTTATATATTTTGGCGGAAAGAATTTAAAAAAAAAAACCCTTTGTATTTTTTAAAGATAAAGGTCCATTCGGATAATTCGCACTATTGTGCGCATTTTATTCTTGTAAATCACTATTCGTTTTTTATTTAATAATGTGCTACTTTTATTATTCGCCCTTTTACGTTCGAACTATAAAATGTTAATCTTTTTTCAATCACAATCAATATATACTGATCATGATTAAAATGTTATATCCATAAATTGATAATGAAATTTATAGGATTAAGTTTACTGCTATATAAGAGATTATATTATGGCGCAATTTATTTATCTGGGCGTTGAATTCACACGGAAATAAATGGAGTGAACTTCGGAATTAGCATAACAATAGCGCGCGGCCAATCAGCCGTCGAGGAATGGCGATTTCGGGAATGCGATACACCACTGTATTAATTTAGTGTTGAGTCCGTTTGAGAATTACTATATCGAGTCTACATAGCATAATCAACTAGATCTGTTTTATGCACGAAGCGTCGTATATTCCGCATGCTTCATTTACATTCATCCAATAAATTATTAAACTTATTAGTCTGCAATGCTTATTTCGAGCTGATGTCGGAAATTTTTAACTCTCTAAGATTATTCAATATTGTAAAATATGATAACGAAAAAGACCGTAACATTGGGCTTGACATCTCCTTTCCGCAAGCATAAAATATAGCATCATTCGTAACGCTTGTCGTAATAAGAACCGAGCGAAATAAAACATCAATTTCCCGGTTCACGGTCAATCACATTTTGACGCGATGCGCTTTCACTCGTTGAATCGGCGCTAACGAAAAGAAAATTTATTCTAGAGTATAAAAAAAAAAAGAAGTGCTCGACGATTATTCACGGAATGCAACGTGATAGGGCTTTAGATCTTTATGCTGACGAGCATTACGTGAGGAAAAAATACGAAAATGTTTGAAATCTTCAACTCATTCTACAATTGCGTAGTTATAAAGTTATGCTCACACTATAAATTACAGTTCTATTTTACCTATAATCACGACGCAACTAGTTCGTACTCGCCGCAACCTATAGTGTCATTACGGCTTAAGTGGCAGTTGTAAGATTTCTTCTTTGTCTTTCCCTAATGGATTTCCGATGCACAAAGGTAGGTCATAGTATTATAGTTGCAAGAATTGATCAATCACAGTCGAATATGAATAGAATTCGACTGCGATTGGTCAATTCTTACAAATACAACCACTTACATACAACTTACTACATACTTACGCAATTATAAAATGGAAAATATATAAAAGCGTACCCTAGTAGAAATGTATGCAGTTTTCCTAGACACCTATTCAGTTACTATCTAATATTACTGTATTCTCATTAATTGTGCCAATACTGAGTAGGAAATGAACAACAACTTGATAGAGTTTTATTCTGTCCATTTCACGAGCAGTTGGCTTGCTTATTATTCAATTTAATATCCATTATTTGTTGTGTTTCTATACAGTAAATGGATTCAGATTTTATGCAACTTTTGTATGCAGTAACTGCAAACAAAGCGTTACATCCTGATTGGGATCCTAAGTACTTTTCCTTCCCTTTACGCAACTTTTGTATGCAGTAACTGCAAACAAAGTGTTACATCCTGATTGGGATCCTAAGTACTTTTCCTTCCCCAGTTACTATAGACAGAAGTTGGTGTAACTGTTTAGTAACTGCTCAAAAAATGCATGAAATTTCTACCAGGGGTATATAGTACATATATTTACAGTAGAAATTATTTTATAATTTATTTCATATCAAGGATATGTAAAATGCCAACCCGGAAAAATAAGTTAAATATACGAGATGAAATATAAGGTATGCGATATATAAAAATTTGGTAAGAAATTCGGTTTCTTCGCACACGACGAAGACATAAGGTATTTGAGGAACAACTCGGTACCCAAGAGGCACAAGATATTCGCGAGCGATCGAACGGTGCATTCCGCGGCATTATTTTTCAGTCGGCTAACATTAATTACGGCTACTGCCGGTTGTTAGGCCGATCGATAGACCGCTGGAAACCTGGCCGAAGAGAAGTTCTCCTGAGATATTCCGTTCCCTCTCTAAAGGAAAGAGACGTAACACCGCGCCCCTCCGTACCCCTTCTCTTCAATGGGGGCCCCTACGACGCAACGTGAGACAGGTTTGCTCGATCGGTCCGTTACGAGCTACGCAGAACGCGTTTCTGGTTGTGCACATTTATTTCTCGCACGCACGCGCGCGCGAGAACCGGCGACGTGCCACTAAGAAAACTAATAGCGTTAAAAATTGTCCGTTTCTGATCGATAAAAAGTAGCGAAGAGATTCAAAGAGTCGTAATATCTGCTACCTTCGAGCGAATAGGGTTTGTAGAATAATCTCACCTGATACACTGAAAAAATGATTCAAAGAGTCGTAATATCTGCTACCTTCGAGCGAATAGGGTTTGTAGAATAATCTCACCTGGTACACTGAAAAAAAAGTCTAGTTATAGCTACCAAATATTGAGTGAAATAGTTTCAATTAAATGTTGAGGTAATATAACTAAACATAAGTTTACTTTTACAAATATATAGTAAGTATTACCGTTGGTAATATTGTTTAGTAATATTTACTAAATATTTGTAAAGGTAAACTTATGTTTAGTTATATTACCTCAACATTTAGTTGAAACTATTTTACTCAATATTTGATAGCTATAACTAGACTTTTTTTTCAGTGTAGAAATATCATGCATTTTTTGAGCAGTTGCAGTTATATTAATTCTGTCTAGTAACTGAGAAGTAAAGTTACTTAGGATCCTAATCAAGATCAAGATGCTTTGCCTAGAGTTATTGCGCACAAAGGTGTACAAAATTGGAATCCATTTACTGAACAAAAATAGAACAATAAATGAATGGATTACGCAGTATTGAACTAATAATAATCTATTAATAGTAGAGACTGGGCAAGTCTATAGTAAATAGCACGCATTTTTACCAGGAAAATTGCTTCGACTATTAAATAAAGCTTTATTAAGTTCTTATCAATTTCCTACGCTGCGTCAACAAAAAAAGCTTTGTAATTATTGTAAAATTCTTGAATATGATTAGTCTATACGTTTAGATCCAGTGAGGAACTAAGGGCAAGACCAATTATATTAAAGAATTTTAGGTAGAACAATTGCAAAGCTTTTTCTGCTGAACGCAGCTATTACGACTAATGAGAATACAGTAATCTTAGATGATAATTGGATCCCTAGGAAAATTGCATACATTTCTACCAGGATCTGTTCAGACTTGTAATCGATCTTCTACGATGTACAATTATATTTGAGAAACATCTTTTCAGACTAAATTTAAAAAATTCTTTTACAAAATACATCTCAAATGGAAAATTATGAATAACATGAATCTTAAACCACACGAGCATTGATTCTATTACATGACTCGAGTGTTTGCAGACTGACGGGTTTGTATAAATAAAGTACGGTACAAAGCGAAGGACTTAACATCGCGGATGGAGAGCTGCGACGTGTTTTCTAGGCTGCGTACGTTTATCGCGTTTCACGGACAGCTTTGTGCAAAAGTTTACTTGGCCACTTCGGTCCTAGGCAGAAGTTTCCAAGCGAGTTGTCGCTTGGAAACTTGCGACTCCCTATGTATTAGTTTTGCATCTACAAGTGCAACCAGATTTTCAGCATTTTTCAACCCAATTACAAGCCTGTGTATGCGTATCCTGAAAAAAGAGAGAAAGAGAGGCGCAGGAAAAGTCTCTTTATCTTTCTATTTTATATTTTTATGTCAATCTTCCAATGCATCATTAGATTTTTTACGCGAGCTAATTGTAACTCGATCATTTATGTCAGAATATTTTATTTAATTTTGTACATTGAGAAAAATTTTTAGTTAAAAATGAACTAACCAGAAGATTCTGATGATATTAATCAGAATTCTGGTAATCTCAAGTACAGTTAGTTATAATAGACTCAACCAAAAAATTCTGACTTGTTCGTTTTTAATTACACACATAGAAAAATATTTTTCTCTGCTAAGGAAAGTAATTACTTAATTTACTTCTTTCCCTTTAAATAACGTTATCTTTGACAAAGAATATTTTCTTGATAATAATCATAAAATATACTTTTATTACAAATTTAAAAGAAGACTCATTATTATGTATTCAAAATAAGAATTTATTTTCTTTTAAAGAATATTACAAAACGACTTTATTACAAAGCGACTTTATATAATAAGAATATCGAATTTGTTTTAATTTAATAATCATGACTAAAGTATTGAACTTACTAAAATTCAGAATATATTTTGAATAAATTTGATGCTTGTAAAGAACTTTATAAGATTTGCGGAGTCTTTGAAATACTGAAACAAGTAATTATTATCTCATTCTAAGAGTGAAAATTGAGCCAGTCTTGAAAAAGAGTGGCTCAATTTTCAATCTCTATAAAGAATGAGATTTTAGTCTTCAGAGAAATTAACTCAAGTTTTAGAGAGTATTTTTCTGTGTACCAGAATTCTAATACAACTAGACTCTTCCTCAGTGTAGAGATTAAATATGAAAACGTTGTATCGAGTGTCGAACAAGAGCACTTTAGGAAATGGAGTACATTATCCTTCGTTATATCTCTAATCGGCCACGCAAGCGACTCGCCGCCGTCTCGCTCGATTGCGGTGCGGTTAGACTGGAATTTAGTGCGATCTGCGTTCCGTTATGCGTGCATTTAACATAAGTGGGGTTTTAACGTCGTCTCGCCAAAAGGCCAATCACACGGGAGTGGAAATAATTGTTGTTACTCGACGCGTTCCTCACCGCAATTTATCGGAACCTCCGGAGTCCATGGGTCGTTGCACGCACAATTGTGAAATGGTCCGCAAACGAGCGGAGATCTATTCGCAATTTACTTGATATTA